AAATCGGTGAGAAGTCTGTGAATGGGGAGAACCGTGTGAATTAGAGCATGCTTCTTCTGCCTTTTCCCCGGAGAAGCGAGGCACTGTCCAGGATCACAGCGGAAGCAGGCAGCCCCCGAAGAAGGAGCACTGAAGAAGCCCTGGCTAAGAAGTGGGCCATGGTAAGAGAGGGCAGATGGTCCAGCCAATCCCTCGAGACCTTTAACAGGGCAGTCAGTATGCTGGCTTTGTCTCTAGGGAAGCAATGATAAGAGGAAAAGGGACAGCTCTGTCATGGAATTTGATCTCGAGTCCAGCTAGATGGCTATCTGGGAATTAAAGAGAGCACTCAAAGCCACATTCAGTCACAGAGACTGGTTTGGAGGAGGGTGGGACTGGGGTCCAGCATTAGGACTGGAGCAGCAGCTTGGCGAAGGATCTTGCTTCTCTGATCGGCCCCTCTTTGCCCACAAACTCTGCCTGGCTCTAAGCCATTAACCATCCAGCCCATTTCTCTGCTCGTCTTTCTTCTCTGCTCCCAGGAGGGAAGCTGCAAGCTTTGTAGTCAAAGCTCAAGACCTGATGTGGTTCCAGTTACATTTCTATGCAGCCCAGATGAGTGGCCCTGACTGTGGGATCCTCCTGCCCTAACTTCTGGACAGCTGGAATTACAAGCACACATCACCGCATTTGAGCTCAGTTCCTCTCGGACTCCATGTCCAGCCAGGCCTACCCCAAGCCTACCAAGCTCATTCCCTAGCCTAAACCCTCAAGTCACCTGCTTTGGGAGATTTCAGCCATCTAGCCTGATAACCTCTCCTTAGCCTATCAGCTCTTCAGGGAACAAGTACCCACCATCACACCTATAAATGTTCACACGAGGGGCTGGAGAGATGGCTCAGTGGTTAAGAGCACTGACTACTCTTCCAGACGACCCGGGTTCAATTCCCAGCACCCACATGGCAGTTCACAACTATCTGAAGATTCAGTTCCAGGGGATCTGACACCTTCACACCAATGTACATAAAATAAACTTAAATAAACCATAAAAATATTTTAAAAAATAAATGTTCACATGATATGTCTGCAGGAAAACTTAGGCTTGGGGGACGGTTTGTCTCACCCTTCTGCTAAGGCCACTAACTCTTCCTGTCTCAACCCTCAAGGGCAGAGTCCAACAAAGAAACAGCACCTGCCACATGCAAACACAGGCAGACAGACATGCTACCAGCCAGTGGGTTGCCGAACTCCCCAATGGGGGGGAAGGGGAGAGACTGGCAGATGGTAATTAGCCGCTTCCCAGATGCTAGTGTCTGTCTGTCTGTCTGTCTCCAGTGACTTTCAAGGTGAGAAACTATCCAGCCTTTTCTACTTGTCCAGCTCTCCCATGCAGAATCTGTCAGTGCCAGGGGCAGGGGAGTACTTAACTTCCAGAGGACCCAGGGTTCGAATCCCAACACCCACACAGCTGCTCACGACTGTCTGTAACTCCAGTCCCAGGGGATCCAATGCCCTTTTCTGGCTTCGGCAGACATGGTGCACATACAGCCAGGCAAATACCCATACACATACAATAAAAACAAATGAGTCTTAAAAAAAAAAAGCCAGGTGCAGAGCAGAATTGTTGACCCTGGAAGACAATACTCAGCATCCCTCTTCTCTTTTATCATTTTCCTCTATTTCTTTCTTGTTTCTTTCGAGACAGGGTTTCTCTGTGTAACAGCGCTGGCTGTCCTGGAACTCTCTTTGGAGACCAGGCTGGCCTCAGAGGTGCAACTGCCTCAGCCTCCCTCTGCTGGGATTGCCTCCTCAGCCTCCCTCTGCTGGGATTGCCATTTTCATCTCTCCAATCACTGCCCAACCCCAGCCTGGAAGAGCCTCTTATTTCCTTTCTGCCTACACAAGTTAGAGCACCCTAGCCTCCCGGAGGTGGCACTGTCCTTTGCTGATCCTCTCACAGAGTTAAGTGGAACCAAGGCTACATTTTGGGCACTAAGGGATTAAAAGAGAGGGGCTGGTTCTAAACAGGAAAGTCTCCCTCCACTTCAAAACTTCCATATTAAGTTGGCCTTCTCTTATGACGCCTGGAGGCCTGAAAAGCTCACTTTGATGGCCTCAAAGGCCCTTTCAACACTTGGGTTCTGAGAAACAATGCTTAGAATTATTAGGTTCTTTGATAAAGGACAGGAGCCCACAGATTTAAGCACCCGCTTTGACAGGGCCTCACTGTGTTCTTTTAGAGGAACCATCAACACGGTGAGCTGTTGTGTCCCTTTTACAGACGGAGAAAACAGGGCTTGTCAGCAATCACCCAGATAATGAGTTTCCTGGAATCCGAAATCCTGCCACCACCTTCCATAATGACAGATGGGCGTGGACCAGTGAGGCCTGTCTTCTCAAGGGCTGCTGTAGCTTCTGCTTGCCGCAGGCAGATCAGGAAGATTTTAGGGGTGCGAAAGGGGCAATTTAATGGCATCTGGTATTGCAGCTGTCGGGGAGGAACTCTGTGGTTCCAGTCTTAGTGGCGTTCAAGACCCCTGTAATCTGTCGCATCTGCCATCTGGCCAAACACAGGCTAAAGCTAGCAGGTGGGATGGGCCTCTCTATAGGCTCAGCCTAAGAAGCCTCTTCCCGCTTGCTTCACACTCAACCTCAGACTTGACTGCAAGCCCTTAGCTTACAGTTTAAGGGCGAGGACCCAGCTCAGCCCAACTGAGCCACTTAAGGCCGAGTCCTTTGTCGGACATTATTGGGAGAGGAGTGGAAATGTCAAAGGTAATTCGATCCTGCCCATCTCCCTCCCCTGCTCAGGGACAGGATCCACAAGGATCAAGTGACTGCTAACACAGCCTGGAATACTTCACACCCACCCTTGGCGCCACACCCAACACGGCCCAAAGGGGCAGAGGAAGGTCAAAGGACCGGTCGCCCGCTGGGAACCCCTGGCCTAAGGAGGGGCTCAGGTGTCCGGGGTCGCTGTACCATAGAAGAGAAAGTTCAGGAACTGTGCTCTTTAGGCAGCTCAGCACCCCTCGGCCTCAAAGGCCTCCCACTGGGCTCACTCACCGTACTGACCACCACACGAAAGAAGGGGAAAGCGATCCACTGGCAGATTCTCTCTCCACAGAAGTTGAGCAGCCACGGACACTGCGGGTTGCTGCTGGCTGGGCAACCTTGAGCCCCTCCTGCGTCCCGCCCTCGGGCCCCTCGGCCACGCCCAGTCGTCCAATGTGGCTTCAGGCCTGGGACTCCAGCTCCACCCCAACCGTCCGGCCCCTCCCCCACAGTCTCTTGAAGCTCCGAGTGCCTCGCCGGAACTTTCTTCTCACCGCCCTAGCTCTGCCCTTTGGGCCCGCCTTTAGATTGGTGCCTCGGGTTCCACCTCCCGCCTCAGGCACCGCCCAGCTATGAGCGGGCCACGGCTAGCCTGATTTATCCCCAGGCCTTATGGGAGATGTAGTTCTAAAGGAAGAAGGAGTTGCTGAATGTTGGGGTTCTTGCAACTCCAGACTAGGCTTGCTATGTGTATGAGAGCACCTCAAGGTGAGGGGCAGAGGTAGCTGTGGTGCTTTGAATAAGGATGACTCCCATAGGTCATGTATTTGAATGCTTAGGTACCTGGGCATGGGACTGTTTGAAAGAATTATAAGGCTTAGGGGGCGTGCTTTTGTTGGAGTAAGTATGACCTTATTGGAGGAAGTGTGCCACTCGGGGTGTGATTTAAGGTTTCAAAAGCCCATTCCAAGCCCAGAGTCTTTCTGACTGTAGATCAGAAAGTCTCATCAGAACTCTCAGCTACTTCTCCAGCACCATGTCTGCCTGTTGCCACGTTCCCCACAATGATGATAATGGACTAACCTCTGAAACTGTAAGCCAGCCTCCAATTAAATGCTTTCTTTAATAAGAGTTGCTGTGGTCATGGTGTCTCTTCCCAGCAACAGAACAGTGACTAAGAGGTCTTTGGGAATCCATTCCCTCTAGATTTGGGCAGCTGGATACTTTGACGAACTAGTGCAGGGCCGGAGGGATGGGAAGCAGGTAAAGGCACTTGCCACCGTCAATTGGCCCAAGTTCGATCCCTGGAGCCCACTGAGTCGAAGGAGAGAGCTGACTCCCACAAGTTGAGCTCTCATCTCCACACAGCACATATAGTAAGTGTAAAAATAGGTATCACAATTCTGGGAGGACCTGTGCCCACTACTAACACCCCAGTCACAAGCTCCACAATGGGAACTTGTAGACCCAAACAGCATGTGTTCTAAGCCTTCAGTTCTCACGGGACCAGACCAACTATGTCCCTGTTTCTGCTCAGTGTGTGGCAATGCCCACTCTCTGACCCATAATGTGTAGCTCCTGCTCTTAATGACAACCTTAGTTAGAAATGTCTGTGCTGGCTGGGAGATAATGGCACACTCCTTTACTACCAGCACTCAGGAGGTAGAGACAGGTGGATGTCTGTGAGTTCAAGGCCAACCTGGTCTATAGAGAGAATTCTAGGATAGTTACACAGAGAAACCTGTCTTGAAAAACAAAACAAAACAAAACAAAGCAAAAAGCCTGTGCTGTGCCCATACCCCTTCCCCTAAAGCAAGCAGTGGTGCAAGAGAAGATTCTAGAACACCCCACCCACTGCTCCCTTGTAGGACAGAGAAACATCTGTTACACTGGGAAGCTTCTTGATCATGAGTCTTTCCAAAATGATGTTCTGTAGCTCTTAGACTGGGCAGGGGAGAGCGGCAAAGGTGTCTGAGCAGAGAGAGCCTTTGGGAGATTTTGATGGGGACCTGGTATCTGAGATGTGAGCAGAATCTGTTTATGGGTACAGTGGGGAAAATGTTGGCTAGAGGGTCTTCACGTCGATGGAGCTGCATGCCTAGCCGGGCTCAAGCTCTGATGCAGTGATGGGGAGGAGGGCAACAGCTGGATTACTCCTGTACCAGGAGGGCACTTAGGGGTGTCCTGAGGTGACTGGAGAGGGAGGGTTCACATCCAGATCTTTCTAGGTAAGGACACAGGAAGCAGTCTTTGTGGTGAAGAGTTTATTGCTCCACCCTCTTCCTTGACCTGGCCAAAGCTTTACCAGGAATGGTAGACAGGATAGGTCTCAGACACAAACTCAGGATGGACAACATAGTTGTTTCTCTGGGGACCACCAGTTTTCTTGAAGTGACTTGTGTCCCATCTGCAAGGAGAGATGAACCTGACTCCAATTCTCGATATGAACCTTATCTCAACATTTCACCTCTGACACTGACCGCATGCTGACCACAGTTCTACTGTTGATTTTCTGATATCCAAGACATAACTTCTCAACCTTGACTTTTTCCTTTATATAAAACCCTGAACCCAGTTCCCTTGAGTCTAAGTCCACTGTCAACTCAAGCCCTCGTTGAGGTCTTCTGGTCTCTCGCAACCTTTGACTTCCCCATGGCACTAGCGCCCCCTGGCGTTAATTTCCTGTCTGAGCACTCAACATGTATTTCCCACCCCAACTAGTCTCCTGGCTCCCCCCCCCCCCCCATCACTAAAGGCACTGTCTCCAGTGTACAAGTGAATGCGCCAGACTTACCTAAGGTTGGGAAATGGGTAGTACGATGGCGGGGGAGTTGTAACAACACATTGCATTCCGGGCCGGTGAACGTAGGGCGAGACACTCCTAGTGAAGGAAGAAACAGCAGGAAGAGGTCGGGCTTTTTGATATCCTCATATCCCAGTATTCCAGACCAAGAACCTGGATACAGTATCAGTCCTGTGGCCCCTTCGTTGGCCCTTCATAAACCCATTACAGCAGGGCCCCTGAGAAGTTTCCAGGAAGTCCCCTCCGCACCAAGGCCTGGTTTTTGCTGCCAGGAGTCTGGAGAGGATCAGATACAGCCTTTGAGGATCCAGCATGCCCCCACCTTCCGTGAGACGGCGAGTTCTTCAACTCAAGTAGGTAGCGTTTCTAGGCCTTCTAGAGGCTGAGACACTCCCCATACCCACACCCTTCTGAGGGAAAAGATCCAATTTTTGACAATGAATCAGGCTTGAGGAGGGGTAGGAAATCATCATAGAATTAGGGACAGCGTTCGGGGCCTTTCTGTACAGCTCTAAACAGTCCCAGGATGCAGTGCTCCTCTGTGCGCTTAGCCGTTAGCACTCAAGAAAGCCAGGAACCCTATGGGCAAGCAGTAACCACTTCCTTTCTCCCAATGATGAATCTGCCCACTGCTGATGGTGCTCCTAGACTCAGGCTAGAACCTCTGCCTCCAGTCCCAGGGGACCAATACCGGCCAGGGCCCATGAATGTGAAAAAGGTTGCGGCCGATGTGAAGGCTTTGGAATCCTCTTAAACTGTTTTGCAGGATCTCCAGAGTACAAACACTTATCAGGTTGACCTTGAGCACGCTAGGAAGAGACAGGATTGAGGACTTGGGGTAACCTTCACGCTGGTTTTCCGCCTTAGCTGTTCGCTTGTGCCCTGGGGATGGGGGCCTGGCGTGGAAACTACAGAGCCAGAATGAGGCAGACTGCGGGACTCTAGGGGGCAGGGCTCGTTTGTGGGTGGAGCCCGGCAAAAGCGGGCGGATCCCTGCGAACCTTACAGTCGGCTCCTCGGAACACAAAGGCCGCAGGCGGCGTTCTCTGCTTGGCTCCCCGGTGGTACAGTAGTCCATCCCGCGCAGACAATAGTGGCGGCCGGAGCAAGGACTTTCGTATCCTTGGAATGGCAGGCGGCCCGGCAGAGGGTCCACGCACCCGCAGCGGGGCGCAATTTGCGGCAGAGTCCGGTTCCGGGACAGCGAGTTCAGCATGTTCACTACTACCTCGCGCTCTGTCCAGGATACCCAAAAACAGTGTCAGGGACAGGGGAAAAGCAGAATCAGCGTCCGAGGGAGAGACAAAAACAGGGACAGACACACAGCTACACCCTCTCTTGGTTCCCCATATCCCCTTCCCGCCGTCTGGCTTTTTCCTTCGCACTCAGTAATCCTGCTCTCGCACTGCCCAATCCGCCGTTTACCGTAGGCGTTGAGGCGCTCCGGTTTAGGAGGGTACTCCAACGGCATTCCTCGCACTACCGTCTCCATCCCGGCATCCTGGAAGCAGTACACAGTCTACCTTAAACTCTGTCACAGACAGTTGCTCCTTTTTTTTGGGGGGGGGGGATGTCTTCCCTGAACGCCCAGACTGTCTTCAGGCGGCGCAGTCTCCCCTCCTCACCAAGTCCCCTATTCTTAGGGGTTGTTTGGAGTTGTTGCTGGGTAACGCATTTGCTCCGCCTACGCCGGCAAGGTGAAGGTGAGGATGCTAGAGTCAGGGGTGAGTGGTAGAGTTGCTTTTAGGCCTGGGACTCTGACAACTCTACTTTAACATTTGCCTATATGCCCTCTGTGTCTGTGCGTCTCTAAAATAGGGGGTTCTAGCTAATATTGCTTGTTCATCAGAATCTCTTGGAGGAACTTGCGGGGGTAAAAATCCGATTCACGAGAAAGTTCTATTTCAGAAGGGTTCAGTCAGCTTTCAGCCTCCAATTAAGCTGGGCTGCTCTGGATTTCAGTTTGCCTTACATGGCTTGAATTAGGCCTGGAGACTCCATTTCCTTCTAACTCTCCTCTTTCGGTGAAGCAGTCTCGTCTTTCTCCCATCCTGTTCCCATCACAATGGAGGGGGAAAGTGGGGCAGGAAGGACCTAGTTCATTACTGACTCGAGGGGAGCACTGGCGTCACAGTAGCCAGACCAGATGAGGCAGGACTACTTGGCAAACTTCAAAACGGTCAAGGAGTGCACACTAGCCATACCGCCACCAAGCTGTGTCAGAGGCTGGAACCCAGGGGTCTATCCCAGGCCAACTCCTGGCTGCCATTGTCAGCTAAAAAATAAAAACCCTAATTTTACTGATGGAGACGGTGCGTGCGCGCATGTGTGTATGCGCATGCGTGTGTGTCCCAGCTCTTAGGTAGCTGTGGTCGGCACAGTAGGTACCTTAGGCAGTCGGGGAAGACAGGTGGTGTACTTGTTCCAGCAGCTGCTGTAAGGTCCTGTCCTCCATGTGTTGTAGCGGTCATTGTCCAGGTAGCTTGAACAGCATTTGTCCTCTTCGTCATGGGAGTGGAGATGTCAGGGTTACTTCTCAGTCCACCCAGAGCCCGGACTGTCTAGATGTTTCTGATCTCTCTCACAAAGCTGACCCTCGCTGACCCCGGTACCCAAGTCCAGATTCGCTACCGTTTATTTATTCATTGTGGAGGCGGGATCTTACCAGGTAGCCTGGAATTCTGTGTAGCTCAGGCTAACCTCAGTCTGTCTATCCTTCCTCACCTTCCCTAGTCCTAGCGATGAGATTGCAGGCCTGGGACAGCATGCCGTTTTCTCTCACTTTTGTGTTTGTTTGTTTTTGTTTTGCCATTGAGCTAGAGATAATGTCTCACCTAAGGGACGCTTTGGAGCAAAGTTTGTATCCATTGGGCTACTATCCTTCAGCCAGACTGCACCCTCTTTGAATCAATCAGCCTGGAAACCGGACGTCCCCTCCCTCTAGCATGTCCAGGCCCCAAGGTCTGCCTATTCACCCTTAAAACTACTTGAATTTCTTCCCTCTTCCTCTATGATCTCACTCCTTTATCCTTGTGTTGCCTTCACCAGGAAACAAAACTAATGTCATGGTTAGCAGTACCGAGCGGTACAGCGCCTGGCTTCGAGTTTCAGCACGGCAGGGGAAAAAAAGCGCAGCATCTGTTGTGAAGTCTAGATGAGTTAATCTATACGAAAGTTTTAGAAAAATGCTGAACACGGTGGCTCCTGCCTGTAATTCCAACAGGCTGAGGCAGGAAAATTACTTTGAGTTCAAGGCCAACCTGGACTATTTGATAATATCCTGATTAAAAACACCAAAACAAAGAAACAAAAAGCCCGGACAATCCCAGGCCTGAGGTGGTGGAGGTAGGAAGATAAGAGTTTAAGGTTCTCCTGGGCTGCAGATGGAGTTTGTCAGCTCTGGGCTACCTGAGACCCTGTCTAAAGGGCAGCGGGGAATGAGGAGGAGGAAGAAAGAAGGAAAAGAATGCTCGGCACATAGAAAGCCCTTAGGGTTAGCCTATGTGTCTCCTCGCTCCAGCTTTGAAGTCCTACAACCTAACATCAGTGTAGAAGTTACAACCCTTTCCTCCAAGCGAAATTTAAAACAAGATACTATTTATTCTAGTCCAAGACTGTTTAGTCCTGCTTCATCTTTTAACCATGTCCTACAAGGCTCTCTATGGTCTGCCCCCGGCAAGTCTGAAGGACAGAGACGGATGAGGGGCAGGATGGATGGGAACTAGGGCCTGATGGCGCATTCCTGCAACCCCAGTGTTTGTGGGGCTTAGGTTGGAGGCTCACCAAGGGTTCGAGGCCTGCCTGGATGACACTGTATTTTAGGCTAGCCTGGGCTACAGAAAGAACCAATGAGTAAAGGTATTTGCTACCAAGCAATTGAACAATCTGAGTCCAATCCCTGGGACTCAAGTGGTAGAAGGAGAGAATAGATTCCGCAAAGTTGTTCTCTGACCTCCACATATGTGATGTGGCTTGTCCCCCATACACACATACGAAACTGATACATGTAATAAAAATACTTTTAAAGACTGAGTGTGGCGACACAGCTCTTAACCCTAGCACGCAGGAGGCAGAGGCAGGCAGATCGCTATGGGTTCCAGACAGCCTGGTCGACATATCCAGTTCTGCACCAGTCATGGGTACACAGTGGGACACTGCCTCAAAGCCGAACCAAACCAAAACCAAAACAACCCAAACCCTTCAAAGCCATAAAAGAAATTCAAGAACAGCTGCCTGCGGTGGGGAGGGGGAGTGTTCAATTTGCTATTCTAAACTGGGGGATTTGACATACTGAGTTTGAGGTGTTTGAACATCCAGGTCAAAGTGCAAGAGAGTGGGATACTGGTGGGATTTGTGATAATAGTAAAGCCATACATGGGCCGGCAGCGGGTGTGAGCACTGACTGCTCTTCCAGAGGACCCAGGTTCAATTTCCAGCACCTGCATGGCAGCTCATACCTGTCTGTAACTCCAGTTCCAGGGGATCTAACACCCTCACACAGACATACATGCAGGCAAAACATCAATGCCCAGAAAATAAAAATAAATAAATCATTAAAAAGGTAATTAAAGCATGTATGGATTGCATAAAATGGCCTCAGGGAAGACAATGGTGGGTAAAGATGCTTGTACAGCAAGCCTGGTTTGAACTCCACCCCTGGAACCCACTTAAGGTGAGAACAGATTCTGGTTGCCCTGACCGCCAGATGTGCCGTGGCATATTTCTCCGCTACCCGTGCCTGTAAGTCAAAGATGGCGGCTCTGGACAGCACCCCAAGGAAGCTCCCATTTTTACACTAGTGTGCTAGAGACAGGGAAGTTGAAGGAGGAGGTTATTTCAGGGAGATCATGGTCAGAAGAGTGGAATGCAGGACCCGTCTCAGAGGCTAAGCACTGAAGGTTCCCACGGGTGTGATAATCTCACACGCAAGACAGTTTCAGTGTTCCAGGCTCCCAGCGTCAACTGGGAATTTTCAATTTATCCAACAAAGCTTGGAAACAAATGTACCGACAAAGTCCCACCATGGAGAGGGTACAGCTGTGAAGAAGACAACATTTTGTCCTTTTGAAATGGACAGGGAGACAGATCCTCAATATGTAGCCAGAGGAGAAAGGTGGTGTTTTAGAAACGATGTGAGTCTAGACTATGTCTCGGTGAAAGAAAAGAACAAGATAAAAAACTGCAGGTAGAAAGAAAATGCCCCGGGCTGTAGAGGGCTGGAAAACAGAGAGTTGGAGAAAGCCGTTGGAGAAGGCTGATTAAGGGGATGGAAGAGACGGGACTTGTAGGGGGCAAACCCTGTTCCCACCTTGCTGGGGGTGAGACCCAGGCCTTGCCAATGATGTTTTTCTTTCCAATGGTATCTGGCCGTGTTCAAGTTGGCCTCAATCTGCTAGGCTCAAGTGATTGTCCTGCCTCAACCTCCTGCGTGCTGAGACCGTAGCTATTTGCCACCATGCCTGGCTAGATTCCTGCTCTATTTTGAGACTGCAAACTCCCCCAAAATATGGGTTTGAGCCTTCTCTAGAGTCAAGGACTGGACTAGGTGACAGGGTATCAGGGGGCTGATTAGGGAACTGGTATAATTCATGAGTAAGAAGGTCAGGACGCAGATCAGGATCCAAACTGGGCTCAAGTTGAGGGTTATTGCTGGGGCAATGACCTAAGGTCAAAATCAGGAAAGAGGTTGAGAGCCTACTTTCGTCTTGAGACAGCCAGTATTTCTCAGGCAAGTAAGGGTGGCCTGAAATGGAGTTCTTATAGGTGTAGTCCTGCGCAGCACACTTGACCATCTTCTGAAGAGCCTCAGGATCCACATGGCGGTGCATAGTCTGAGTCAGACCCTGGCCGGAGGGAGAGAGGAGGAGACGTGCAGAGAGATCCCAAGCCTTGGAACCTCGCTGCAGTTAGAGCTAGCCTTTCCTGAGAAGTTCAGCCTGCCTGGATTCCCACCGACCCCCAGTACAAGGCGGATGAATTCTTGCGTCTCACTAACCCTTCTGCAGAGACCTATTTTTGTTTTAATTTAATTTTATTTTTTTTTTAAAAAAAACCTTATTTATGATTTCTTGTGCATTTGGTACCTTGCTTGCATGTATGTCTGCATGAGGGTGTAGGCCCCCCTGGAATTGGAGTTACAGATAGTTGGGAGCTGACATGTAGGTGCTGGAAATTGGACCCAGATCCTCTGGAAGAGCAGCCAATGTTCTTAACTTCTGAGCCATCTCTCCAGCCCTTAATTTTAATTTTCTGTGTATGAGTGTTTTGCCTACATGTGTATACACGCATCACATAATGCAGGGCCTAAAGCGGCCAAAAGAGGGCACCAGAACTCCAAGAACTGGAGTTACAGACATTGGAGAGTCACCATGTGGATGCTGGGAACAGAAGGTTTGCTCCACAAGGGCAGCCAGCGCTCTTAACTGAGGAGCTGTTCCTCCGGCTTCCAGACCTGCTTCGGAATCCATATTTCTTGTTTGCTTTTTTCTCTTATCTAAAGCTGACCCTGGAACCGGGCTCTTGCCCCTAGCTGGGGTAGTCTTCTGACTTCATTTCTGCAGTTTCCTGGCTGGAAGAGAGGTCTGAAAGGATGAATTCGAGGCATGTGCGCCTACTCTCTTCTGGACTGCACCCACACCGGGAACGGGGCCAGTGGACACAACCTAGATGGAAGGCTGGCTTCCTGGGAACTGACCGCCTTATGCAGATTTCTGGGGCAGGGAGGACACCTGGCACCTTGAAGCCAAAGGATGGGTTTGGTGGGACACCTGCTTTAACGTTTAGCACCCTGTCTCTACAAGACGCAAACATTATCTATCCTTGATAGTTTCTTCTTCTTCTTCTTCTTCTTCTTCTTCTTCTTCTTCTTCTTCTTCTTCTTCTTCTTCTTCTTCTTCTTCTTCTTCTTCTTCTTCTTCTTCTCCTCCTCCTCCTCCTCCTCCTCCTCCTCCCCCCCCTCCCCCCCCCCCCCCCCCCTTTTTTTTTTTTTTTTTTGGTGGGGGGGGTTTCGAGACAGGATTTCCCTGTAGCTTTGGAGCCTGTCCTGGAACTAGTTCTTGTAGTCGAGGCTGGCCTTGAACTCACAGAGATCCACCTTCCTCTGCCTCCCGAGTGTTGGGATTAAAGACGTGTGCCACCACCACCCGGCTATTTTTTTTTTTTTTCAAGACTGGGTTTCTTTGTGCAATCCCTGACTGTCCTGGAACTGTAGACCTTGATCCACCTTGATCCGCCTGCTTCTGCCTCCCGAGTCCTGGACTTAATGGCCTACGCCACCACTGCTCCGGCTTTTTTCCTTTTCTTATTCTTGTCTCTGGGGTCTTCTACTTACTGAAGCTTACTTCACCTCAGCCCAGCACTCCTTGTTTGGATAGATCTATGAAAATCTAAGTGAAGATTTCCTTTTGGGGTCCTTTGTCTTCAACTGAGGGCAGAATTCCAAATAAGGCATAGGTCCCATGCCCTTAGAAGGACAGCCAGTCTGAAAAGCTAGCTGAGACCCTTGACCCTTTGAATGGCTGATTCCTGGTTGCTCCCAGAAATGTCCTTAGTTCGGGACCTTCTGGGATAACGTGTTCCTAGCTGATGATGTTCTGCCATATCTGTGGGTGGAAGCAGCTTTATGTGCAAGGGAGCTATAGTTCAGCGCTTCCCTGAGCTTTATATACATAGTCTGGCTGCTTTTAAACACACACGCAGATGTACATTCATATATACACATACTAAACACTCTCACTAAACCCTCAGACTCTCTCTCTCTCTCTCTCTCTGTCACACACACACACACACACACACACACACACACACACACACACAGACAGAGACAGAGAGAGAGAGACAGAGAGAGAAGCAGCCATTCTGGGCTGGATCAGTGAAGTGTCAGCTGGGCAAGCGTGGAGACCTGAGTTTGGATTGTAAAAAAACCAGGTGCAGTGAAGTATGCTTATTTTTTTTTTTTTAGATTTTATTTATTTATTATGTATACAGTGTTTTGCCTCCATGTACGCCTGCATGCCAGAAGAGGGCACTAGATCTCATTGTAGATAATTGTGAGCCTCCATGAGGTTGCTAGAATTGAACTCAGGACCTCTGGAAGAGCAGCCAATGTTTTTAACCTCTGAACCATCTCTCCAGCCCGTGAAGGATGCTTATAACCTCCATGCTGAGAGCAGGGAGCAGAAATAGGCAGATCCCTGTAGCTCATTGACCAGTGAGACCAGCAGAGTCTTTGAGTTCGGTGTTCTGTGAAAGGCTCTGTCTCATATAAGATAGCTAGATGGAGGGTGCGAGAGAGATGGCTCAGTAGTCAAGATCCCTTGCTGTGTTTGCAGAACCCACATGGTGGTGGCTCAACGGGTGGAACTCCAGTTTCAAGGGATCTGATCCTCTCTTCTGCCCTCCAGGGACACGTGCACAGTGCACAGACATGCGTACAAGCAAAACACGCAGTAAAAAGAAGAAAAGATGGAGAACAGTTGAAGGAGACTCCCAGTGTCCACTTCAGGTCTCCACTGGTGCAACACACACACATGCACGCGCGTGCGCGCACACACCCACGCACATACACATGCACACACGCACACACAGAGCCATTTAGAAGAACTCACAGGCATCAACCATTTTTCTGTTAGAGGTTTTCCTAAGATGTCTGTGGTCTTTGCTCACGTTCATAAATAGAAAACTAAAAGAGCTTGTGTCTGAGGCCTTGAGCGATCTTGCCTGGGTAACTGGCGTGGCGCCTACCCCTAGTCCAGCTGGACTGTTGCCTGCAGAGTCTAACACCAGTGTTCCTCACACCTTTCCCCTTGTGGGAATGGGATTCTTTGGAAAGGCTCCTTTAATCTTTGGCGTAGTGAAAAGACCCAGCTGCCAGTGCAGAAGAGGGCTGCTGGGGGTTTTAACAGTCAATATATGGATGCTCATCTGCTTTCAAGATCCTTGCCAGGAAAAAGAGG